AGGTAACATGAGAGTAGCTGTTAGCATGGCTATAGGCTCTTGTTTCTGTTGAACAAAACTAATAAAACCTTAATGAGTATTTAATTAAATCTCAACAGAAAGGCCTCATGAATTTGACACGCCACATTTCAGTCTCTGCCAAAAAAGATTCAAAACGCAGCCCGATTTTGATACTTTTTTTCATAAGTGCATGCTTTAATAACATGAACACACCTATTCTCTATGAAAAATGATACTAGAAAGTATTTGTTGCCTTAAGCTGGCATGAGCTGAGTGTTAGATTCTTAAAGACAAACCTTGGCTGCTTTGGCTGAAGGATAACTTAAGAAGACCGTGATCAGGGTAAAACACTGCTGACCAGCTCATCCCTAGCACTGATGGCTGCAGAGGACTCGCTCCCTGTATACTGTCTCTACTGTACTGTATGTGTGTTATTGCTGTTTTCTGACATTCCATTCTGTTTTGCATTTACAACAGAAATCTAAAAATAATCCTAACTCTCTCTTGCTCTCCTGGACAGGAAGTTGTTCTGTTCTTCACTCTAAACACTTGTTTCCTGTTTCACACATTCACTTTTAAATTTGAATGCATGCTCCTCTTCCTCTCCATCCTCCTCACATATTTACCCTAAAGCTTTAGTTTTCTCCTTTCATCACCTCATTTCTTTTGTTGCTTTGTTGATCTTGTTTTGTTATTGTTCATACATTCATATGGTGCTTTATTTTGTAATTGTGAATGTGTCCCTGGGTAGCTGCAGGGCCTTAGCCAGGTGTTTACCTGTGAGACTGAGAAGAGGGAGTTAGTGCCAAAAGAAATTGAGCAGCAGCTGCTAACATTAATTTTTTTATATGAGTAATTAGGTATATAAAATGTCAGGATTGAATGAAAAATTGTTCTTAACACCTTCCTTGAATACAGGTGACATCTTCAGATGTCACAGACACAAGCAGCAAATCCTCACACTGGAGAAGCTGGAACTGATGATGGTATGATATTTGTATTTGGTGCATCACTCAAACGATTGGTTAGAAAAAATTGCCACTTGTAGAAAAATTGTCAATTGTTTGGTCAAAATTTCAGCTAATATATCTAATAACTGTCAAGATACTGCTAGAGCATGGCTAAAATGCCCTCCAGTAACTCAAGTGTGAGGATTTGTTGCTTTTTTTCAGTTTTTTTTTTAAATTTTTATTTATTTATTTATTTTTTATCATTAACTGATTATCATCAAGTTTCTGGGACAGAACAAGAAATCTGAAAATGTCACCATGGACTCTCAGAACATCTGAATGGATTACGGCAAACTCCTTCAAAAACCTCAGACACACAAAGCCTATTGGGGATAAATCCTGTTCACAATATTAAATTAATGTATGTTTTTTCATCATAGACAATACTTTGGATTATTACTGCTTCTCTTTTTCCAAATCATCCATCAGTTTTTAGATTGCCTTCCTCCATTTCAGTTAGCTGTTGGTCTCACTTCATTGCTATGAAATCAACCTGCAGAGACTTGAGTTGTTTCCGGGAGATCATACATCAAAGGCAGTGTTTAGTCACCGCTGTTTTTCTTGTCATACTCATGTTATCACTGTGTGCTAACACAGTGGAGAGAAATGATGGTTTGAAGCACACACTGTTTTTGTGTTGAAAGACACACGCAATGTCAGTATTCACACAATTGTTTCATCACTTGTGGAAGAAACATTCAGCTCCTTTACTTAAATGTAAGCTGATTGTTTTAAGAAAGAACACATCTCACTCTTTTGGAGTTGTTGGAACAACAAAGTCTCACTCAGTTCACATGACTGTACAGCGTCACAGGGTGGAGTTACTTTCATCATGAATAACCTTTAGCTGAATACCGCCCCAGCAACAGACAAGTTTTGTCACATTTACAGTAATGTTTATTAATGTGCACTGTCTCTGTTAAATAAACAAATAAATAAGATTTTTCTCTGTCTCTTTCTCCATGTGTTACCTCATGTAGAGTCAAACTTCTCTGAGTGACTGATCCCAACCAGACACACCAACAGGTGGATATGGAGAGTGGAGCTCTGGGAATTGACACCAGCGCTGCTCCAGGTGGGTTGTCTTACTTAAGCATTTGAAATGATTAGCTAAAACTAACAGTTAAAGAATTTATATTGTTAGATAAAAGGAACATATAACAAGTATAGCAATATTTAGTGACCAGATGAACACCTGACATCATTAGCTGAAGGTGACATAATGTTGAGACAATTAGCTGAAACCACTGGATTAAAAAATAAAAATAAATTAGCTAATAGTAACCAAAAAATTGTTGAAACTAGTGGCTAAAATTCATAGATAAACTGTTTAAATGACTAAAGTAATGAGTAAACAGTTGAATTAGAAATACTTAAAGGTGATGGTTATAATGCTACATGAAATCTAGCTAAAAATAATGCACACGTGTAATGGATAAACAGTTGAAATAGCTAAAAGTAAATAATAAAAAATTTAAATATTTCACTAAAGGTAACAGCTTAACAGTTGAAATAGTTATCTAAACAAAACTAATCAGTTTATATTGCTAAAACTAACAGATAAACAATTGAAATAATTAGATAAAAGTAGCTAGTAGTTGTAACAAACTATTGAGATAGATTCCAAACAGTTGATATTAGCTAGCTAAAGGTAATGAATAGAAACAATTATATAATATTTGCTTAAAGTAATGGATAAAGAGTTTAGGATAACAATTAGGATATAAACAACTGAAATATAGTATTTAGCTAATGGTAACAGATAAACAGTTGAAGCAATTTGTAAAAAATAACTAATAATCAATTGAAATATTTGCTAAATGGTTAAAAGTAGCTTAACAGAAACTAGTTGAAAATGTTAGCTTACATATGAACAGTGAAAGACCCAAGTTTTGTCACTCCAAGTGGTAATAGTATGAATGTAAACTTGACCAACCCAGTGGGTACCTGCAAAAAAGGATGTGTAACGGATAAAAAATATGTTTATATAAATTCACAGGTATAGACACTGGTAAAAAAAATAAAAGACTGAATGTAGGTGGGTACTGGGTGAAATAAACAACAATAGTAATAATAAAAATAAAGGTGCAGCTTCTTTTAAACATCTAATCCAGCATAATTTTATCAAGCCTAAATAAGTGATACATTTATTGTGAAGGCCTATGACACAACCTTTGACCCCTCAACTCACATCCAACTAATAGGATGTCACTCAGACATTAGTGTAAGTTACTGTGTCAAACTGGATAACCTAGAAGTGAAAAAGCTAGCGGTGATTACAAAATTGTGGACAGTATATCACTGAATGCCAAGTTAGACTTATTGGAGAAATTCAGTGTGGTTACAGACAGTGAGAACAATGTAATCAGCGGCTTTGCTACTTTGCCAAAAAGTGTTAGCATTGATAGCTGCAAGCTAGGCACGTCATCACTAAGAGAACAGCTGCAGAGCCCAGGTGCTGTCTCGACAGAAAAGGGCTTTCGCCATTATGGGAACGTACCAAGACGTGTTGAGCCAAGCAGCGCTCTTCATGGATTCTGCGTTTGTTTCCACTGCCATGCGCCTGCTTTGTGTGTGTGCTCCGGGAGATAAATTTCAGGACCCCTTACAGATAATACTAAAATCAGGTTCCAGAAATGTTAGGGGGAGAGGGTGCATGCGCGCAAAGCAGTCACCCCGTTTGGTTAAATGTCCACTCTTCACACCTCAGTCATTAGCATTACAGTCTCCCTTACTGGCTGATTGTTGCAGTATGGAGTAATCCTTCACATCATCTTTTCTCCTTCTGCTTAGCTGATTGATGTGTGTGAGAGACGTGTAGTCCCTCCCTCCTTCAAACAGAGATCCAACACAGAAAAAATACAGTGGAAAAACAAAGCAGCACAGTCTGTGTCAACCCGGGAGGTTTTGCAGGGTGAAGTATGGGGTATCCTACTCCTTAGGTTCCGATAGTGGAAATGCAGCAATACTTTTCCAAGAACACAACTCTCAAGTACTTTAAAGTAAGTGACTGTGTATCTTAAAGTCTAATTTAATTACGGGAATGGGTCACAGGTCTTATGTTAACAGGTCAGGTTGGGTCTGATACAGAGCTTTGCAGATTTTCAAAATTGGACCTGTGAAATGATTCTGACATGATTCGATTGAAGGGGAACCTGAGATCATCTGGTTGAAATGTGGGTGTACATCAGACAAAAAAAAAGCTGAATCAGTTGTTTGGAAGGTTCACTGCTGTTTGATGATGCAAATTTATGTGTCACATTTCATTAGTGGTGAAGTTCAGGTCACTGTTCCACACAGAATTATGTTACTGATATGCATCTTCAAATGTATTGGAACTCGGTGTGATATGGCATTGTCAGTTCCTCTTGTCTTTATTGTTCCTTATGAAACTGGTGGTTGAAAAGAACAGTCAGATAACTTAGATATACAGGGGCAAGGACTGATATGTGTGATCACACAGCTTGATTCATCTGTGTTAGTTATTTCTGCTTGTCAGGTTGAATACCAGCCAGACCTGATTGATGGGTTTAGAGGAGTCAAGCTGACAGACAGGTTATTTGCTTGATTGATCCTCAGATCCCGGAGCGCACTCAGACTGCGGCAAAGCCTTTCTGCGGCGTCAAGCCTGGGCCCATAGCAAAGACTCCCTGTGGCAAGAATCAGAACAAGAACAAAATGGCCCCCAGGAGCCCGATCAGGGCCAGAGAGACGAGGATGCACAGAGAACCTCAGAAGAACCAGGTTAGTCTGAGCTCAGCTGTCATCAAAGCATCTGAAGTACTGACGTTGGCAGCTGGACTTTCTTGGGGTTCCAGTTGCTAACATTAGTGCTTCTGATATACCAAGACCTAAATGACTGTGAACCTCCATGAACATGTCGCTAGAGCAGTGTTGTAACGAGCAATATTTTGAAATAATAAATATTTCACATTTTATCTATCCAGTGTTCACCTTACTGCCAACAATCACATCAGTTGAGTGCCAGAGTCAGTTCTGAATACTATTTTTGGACAATATTATCTCACCACAGTTGTATCATTATAGTTGTAGCTAATACGTAACATGAAATGCCTTGTTTTCTGTACCGGAAACAAAGCAAAGTTTTCAAATTATCCTCAATGTATAAAGCCAAATTAAATATTTCAGGTATGTGGATGTGTGGTGAATAGTTGTTTGTCTATAGCTCCATGGTAATAGAAATATGCAAATATACAGTATGTGTAAAGGGAAATTAGAACAAGCACAGAATTTAGAGGGGAGGGGAAAAAGTAAGGCTTGATTGTTATAATTATCATTAACAATATAAAATATTGCAAGAAAAGCAGCGGTGGGGTTGGGTATCAGCTCATTTTTGCAACACTACCAGATACTAGGGATGAG